TTCCAGCTTCCAGATTTGAAAAATATGATTTGATATAGTATATCTAAATCTGCTTGATAAGAAGTCATGCTATACTTCTCTCCAACCATATGGTGAAATGTTTGTATAAAGAAATTATTCACCAGTTTTTCTCCATCTTCCCAAAGAATTAGAGGAAATAACTATATGTTGATATCAAAAACATAGACTAATACTCTACAAAATTATATCATATTCTGTTGGGTTGAGAAAATAGAATAGGTGTGTATAAATCAGTTCTGAATACTAAAAAAGAGGGCAAGGACTATCATCTATCTCTTCTGGATGGCTTATGTCCCAAGGTGGGAGGCAGACTTGATTACTTATCATGTAATTACCCGTCTGGAGAAGATTCCCATTATGTCCAGGATTCTGATTTTAAAACTCTAAGAACACAAAATATGTGTAGATATTAAATACAGACTCTGATATTAGACACAAAATCATCTCCTCTTATAAAGTTCTGTATCAATCAGTTCTCCAGAAAACAGAAGAAATATACATATGATAATTGACTCACAGGATTGTGGGGGCTGGCAAGTTCAAAATTGGTAGGGCAGGCCAGCAGGCTGGAAACTCAGGCAGAATCTCTATGTTACAGTCTTGAGGCAGAATTTCTTCTTCTCTGGGAAACTTGTTTTTGAGTTTAAGGCCTTCAACTGATTGGGGAGACCCACTCATATGATCAAGAGTTATCTTCACTAAAGTCATCTCATTGTAAATGTTCATCACTTCTACAAAATACCTTCACAACAACATTTAGACTGCTGTTTGACCAAAGAACAGGGCGCCATGGCCTAGCCAAGCTGATACATAAAATTTAACCATCACAAGCTCCAAATACTCTTCAGCTCAACTTTTTAGAAAGATGACATGTGAGCCAAAGATGGCAAGGGTATTCCCTACTATTGTAGTGTCCTTCCTAACCTCAGAGGGTCTTCCCCCTGAGGCAGAAGATGGGAGGAACCATCCACATTCCCTACGGTCCTCCTCACGGCTTTAAGTACCAGTTCTAAATGGTTAGTTTCTTCTGTTGCATTCTGAAGTAGTCCTTCCTCGTGGCTGTTTTCCTGTGCCATCCCACCATTCACACGACATGCTGTCCAAGGATTTTCTTTCTGTAGTTCTGCCAGGTCTCTCCAAAATTCATACTGACTATGCCGGTTGCAATGAGAATTTGGAAGCAAGACAATTTGCTTCAAGTAGAAAATCACAGAGATGATAAATGACCAGGGAAGGGCTCAGAAGACCATGGATACTAGAGCAAAACTGTCTGGGTTCAGATTCCAATCCCCCCACTTACACCTGTGTGACTTTGGTCAAGTTACTTGCGATACCCCTGAACTTCAGTTTCTTCATCTGTAAGATGGAGATAATAATTATAATTCCTTACCTAAAGGGTTGATGTGAGATGCTTTGAACACTGCTTTGAGCACTTAGTAACTATTTAGACTATTTAACTATTACAAAGCTAAGGACTATCTAAGTCTTGGAGAAAATTCTTTTGATGATGGACTTCCTGTATTACTTAAACCATGTAACACTAGGTGAAGATCTGCTCTGGGTCTTTCTGCCATGATAGCTTCTATGCATGACACTGGGAATTTTACATCTTCCCTCTCCACACACTCAGGGGGCTAAGAAGTCAGAGTTTGACAGTACTGAGAATCCCAAAACACTTCACCCCTAAAATATTTCATCACACAAACAACAGAGGGCAAGAGAAGTAATATTTACTGAATGGCTTCTATGTGCTAGTCCACATACATTGTCTCATTTAAGGCTCATAACATCCCTGCAAATTAGATATTATAACCCGCAATTTAGAGCGGAGGAAACTGAGGCTTAACAAGGTTGAAATAACTTGCCAAAAATTATAGAGCAGAACCAGGGTTGCCCAGCTTCCAAGCCCAAATTCTTGCTAGTTATACCATGATGCTTCTCTCAAGAGGGTAGGACCTCGACCTATGTCTTTCAGGCTGTTGGCTCCTGTGCTATCTAAAGTTATTTTTTGTATATTTGAGAAATGCTCTTATTTCTTTTACTCAACTAAATTGGATTCTCAATTCTAGAATGCTGCTCAGGACATTCAACTTAGGGTATTATGAAATGGGCAGGAGACCTTAAACTGCACATGCTTGAAATACAAAGCCTAAAAACTAACGGGAAAATAGATGTTTGAAGTTCCTGATTTTTCCATTTGTTTCTAAACTAAACCACTGTTCACAAAGAATGTGTCAGTGAAGACGCAGAAAAACTAGCTGCTTTTCTTTTATTTTTAGACTCAAGTAAACATTTGATAAAAATAAGCTGAAAAAGTTCAAAAATAAGTTCAAGAAGCCCGTAAAATGACTAAAATGAGTAAATTGCAAAGATACAATTCATCACAATAAAGGATCTCATGACTAATTAATTTTGAGTTATGGCTTCAAACCCTTCCTTTAACAGACTTATCCTTCCATCTACCCATCAGTTCAACAACCATCCTTCCAGTCACCCAACACACATTTAGTGACTAGAGACCCGTTATGTGCTAGGTACTGTTCTAGGTTCTGGGATAAAGCAGTGCTTAAAGTGCATAAAGAGGGTTGAGATTACAATAATCTAAGAAACAAATGAATAAAACAAGTTAATTTTAGGTACTGATAGATAGGTGCTGTGAATGAAATTTAAGAATACTGAGTTTATGGTGGAGAAGATGCTTGAGGTAGGCTGGTCAAGGAAGGTCTCTAAACAGTTGGCATTTGAGTTGAGACCTGAATGAGGAAAGGCCAAATCTTTACAAAACAGAAGAAATAACTCCCAGGGACAGAAAGGTTCTAAACAATTCAAACATACTATCTTAGTGTGTTCAGGCTGCTAGAACAAAGTACCACAGACTGGGTGGCTTATAAGCAACAGAAATTTATTTCTCACAGTTCTGGAGGCTGGAAGTCCAAGATCAGGGAGCCAGGACGGTCGGTTTCTGGTGAGGGCCCTCTTCCTAGTTGCCAACTGTGGACTTTTTGTATCCTCACATGGTGGAGAGCCCAGAGCAAGCTCTCTCATGACTCTTGCAAAGGAACTAATCCCATGACCTCATCTAATCCTAATTACCTCCCAAAGACCCCACCTCCTAGAATGATTACATGGTGTAGGGTTTCAACATATGAATTTTGTGGGGGATGCAAACATTCAGTCCATAACAGGTACCAAAATCAGAAAAAGACAGTACAGCTGGATCCAGAGTGGTGGAGTGAAATGAGATCAGAAGGGTGGGTAGGGCCATATTAGGTAGAGTCTTGTACTACTGGAAGGACTCAGACTGAAGGAGTCTGAATTACAATCCAAGTATAACGGAAATATATTGGCAGGTTCTGACCACGGGGTGACAAGATTTGAGTTAGTTTTAAAAACATCAATCCCAGTGCTTGGTTGAGAATTACTTATAAAGGGGCAAGAGTGGAGGCAGGGGGACTAGTTAGGGTGAGATTTGCAGAGGTTGAGGTGAAAGAAAACCCCAAAGACTCATAACAAATCTCTTTAATGGTAAGGAGACTTCATTGGTGAAAGGAAGCTGAATTTATTTTAATAATGTCTCCATTTACATGCAACATATCTGCTGTAAAATAAATTGTTTTATTATTATTTTGTCAGAGGTAGAGACGATGGTGTGGCTGTAGATTAGCAAATACACATAACTCCACTGTATATTAAAAAGGCATTTGACTGTTGCTGCAAGGAACCACCATGCAGGCCTTTTGGTCCTGCCTAAAGGAGAGCAACAGTATCTAGGATATTAATTCTTCCCTCCAGCATAAACACAAAATTGTGGAGAGCATTTGCTAAATATGGCCAGCCATTCCTAAGAGGGCAGAGAGTCCTTCCTCGGGCATTCTTTATTAGAGGCCATTTATCAATTTCTACCTATTATTACAGGTAACTGAAGGGAAACCTGCGACTATGGCAATTTATTGGCATTTTTCTTGGGCTCAGACACAAGCTGTTTGAAAGTGGTATCAACAGTGGTGGTCCTGCCTGCAAAATTGCTTGCTCAGAGGCAACTGTGAAGCGCTCAGAGGTGGTGGGGCCTCAGCCACTCCGTCTTTCTGCCCATAAATCAGCATCGTCAAACATCCTGGAAGTGTTGCGATGGCGCTGAAGGCATAAAAAAGTGTTCGCAAGCCGAATCTATTGTCGTCCTTCCAGGTGGCAGAGAGGAGTGACAAGAGGCTCACACGTCGCTGAGTAGTAGCGCGGCATAATAAAGCGTAGTTTGCACCATGTGTGTCACAGATTTCTCAGGGTTTCTCGAAGGTTTTTCCAAGTTCCGCCTTCCCCCCTTTGCAGTCATCCCGGCCCCAGCTGTGCATCGGCCTTTGACTCCATCTGTCCTTCCGCTGGGGACGAGTCTTTCTCGCCAAACGGAGAACACAAGTCTGGCTCCCCAAAGTGATTATAACCCCCACCTTCTCCGCTCAGCCTGAGCCAAGCGTCAGGCCCGCTGAAGGGAGGAGATGGGGAGGAAGGCGTGTAGAGGCTGCGCCCCTCACCTTCCCCCACCCATCGCCACTTTGCACGCAAAGCCAGAGCAGACGCCACGCCTGCGGGACCCCAAACCGGTCCAAATCTCCTGGTCTTTTTCCATTTGCTACCCTCTCCTCCGTCCCAGGCCCAGCTGCGAACGCGCCCTGCTGCAGAGCGGCGACTCGCAGGTTGGAGTTGCCCTCGCGTGCGCAGCGTCACACTGCGCCGAGGAGAAGGGAGGGGAGGCGGCGGGGGCTGGGTCGGAGGGGGAGCCGCGCGGTCCTTCGCGTCCCGAGACGCCGCGGGGAGCGTCCGCCACCGCCGCGGCCAGAGCCGCTCCTCCCTCCTTCCCTCCTTCCCTCCCTCCTTCGCTCTGGCCCGGCGCCCTCACTCTCGGCCTCCCCGCCCTTACTCCACCCCCTTCCCCGGCTCGACCCGCATCCTCTCCTTGTGTGTGTGCGCTTTAAATAATTTCCTCCTTTTTGGCAAAAGAAATAATGCACCTGACGTTACCAGGGGGAAACAACCAGCGGAGGAGAACAAGGAACAGATGTAAAAGGAATAAAAGGAGAGAGAGAAAGAGATGAGACTCGTTTAAAGAAATCCAGGGGCTGAAGAGGTGGCTGCAGCAGCAGAGGCAGCTAGAGCTTTCCCGTCTGCGTGAGCGGCAGGCGGAGGACGTTTTCACCAGTTGCAGATGTAACCTCGGGAACTCCTGGGTGTGTTGGTTTGTTTGCCAAACAAAGTCTTTTCTTCTTTGGCTCAGACACTGAAAAGGCTCCTGGATTTTTCTGCCATCCCGCGACAAGCTGGCAGTTACCCGGGAGCCTTCCCAAGGAGCTGGCGGAGAAATGATCCCTTCTGGGCGGAGGATGGGCGCCGGGCGTCAGCGGCGTGGGGCTCCCTCCTGGAAGCGCCTCCTGCTCCCCGGGAGGAGAGGGTCACCCCGCGGGCGGCGGGGCGGCGGCGGCTCCAGGGCGCGGCGCTTCCTGCTCGGGCTCTTCATGCACGCGTGGCTGTGGGCGGCCTCGGGCACATGTGCCCAGGTGTTCAACCTCAGCCTTTCTGTGGACGAGGGACTTCCTCCGGACACTCTCGTCGGCGACATCCGCGCCGGGCTGCCGGCCACGCAGCAGCAGGAGGGGGGAGGCTTCTTTCTGTCGGAGGATTCGGATGACTCCCCGCTGCTCGACGACTTCCACGTGCATCCGGACACCGGCATCATCCGCACGGCTCGGCGCCTGGACCACGAGCGGCGCGACCACTACAGCTTCGTGGCCGCCACGCTTCTGGGCGCCGTGGTGCAGGTGGAGATCCGCGTCAACGACGTGAACGACCATTCACCCCGCTTTCCCCGCGACTCCCTGCAACTTGACGTCTCGGAGCTCAGCCCGCCAGGTACCGCTTTCCGCCTGCCAGGTGCCCAAGACCCCGACGCCGGGCTGTTCAGCACACAGGGCTACACCCTGATCCAACCGCCCAATCTTCCCGAGGACCCCGCAGGACCGTTCTTTCAGTTGCGCTACGGGAACCCGGGGTCACCACCGTCGCCGCGGTCCTTGTCGCCCCTGGAGCCCCTCGACCTGGTGCTACTGCGCCGCTTGGACCGAGAGGCGGCGGCGGCACACGAGCTGCAGATCGAGGCGTGGGACGGCGGTCGTCCGCGGCGCACGGGCCACCTGCGTGTGGAGCTGCGCGTGCTGGATGAGAATGACAACCCGCCCGTCTTTGAGCAGAGCGAGTACCGCGCCGCGGTGCGCGAGGACGCTCGGCCGGGTGCCGAGGTCTGCCGCGTGCGCGCCACCGACCGTGACCTGGGGCCCAATGGCCACGTGCGCTACAGCATCCGCGCCCGGCAGGCGCCCGGGGCAGGTGGCGGCGGCGGATCACTGGGCGACGCGGCCTACTTCACTGTGGAGGAATTGAGCGGCGTGGTGCGGCTGCGGAGGCCGCTGGACCGCGAGGCGCAGGCCTGGCACCAGCTGGTGGTCGAGGCCCGCGACGGAGGTGCCGAGCCCGAGGTCGCCACCGTGCGCGTGTCCATCGCGGTGCTGGACGTGAATGACAACCGGCCGGCCATTCACCTCCTCTTCCTCACCGAGGGAGGCGCCGCTCGTGTCTCTGAGGGTGCCCGACTTGGAGACTATGTGGCTCGTGTCTCGGTGTCCGACGCGGACGGTGACCCGGAGAAGGAAGAGGAGGCCGCTGGACAACTTGATGTAGGCCTCGGAGGCGGGAGCATCTCGTTGTCCTTGGAGGGCGGGGAGGGAGCCTTCGCGCTGCGGCCTGGAGGCTCTCCAGGGGTTTTTTTCCTTTGCGTGGAGGGGCCCCTGGACAGGGAGAGCCGAGACCTGTATGATTTGCGACTGGTGGCCACGGATGCGGGGTCCCCGCCGCTGAGCGCGGAGGAAACGCTGCTGCTCCGGGTCGCTGACCTCAACGACCAGCCGCCTCTCTTCAGCCGGGAGCATTACCGGGCCTCAGTGTCCGAGGCCGCGGCCCCCGGCACCGCGGTCTTGTGGGTCAGCGCCTCCGATGCGGACGAGGCTGGCACCGACCACGCCCGGCTGCGCTACACGCTGGTTCACCTCCAGGCCCGCTGCAACCCAGAGGCTCTGCGGGCCCCGGCAGAGTGTGGACCGTCCTTCACCATCGATCCCGAAAGTGGCGTGATCAGCACCACCCGGAGTCTGGACCGAGAGGTCCAGGAGGCGGTGGAGCTTAGAGTGGTGGCCCAAGACCTTGGAGAGCCCCCGCTCTCTGCCACCTGCCTGGTGAGCATCACCGTCGACGACGTGAATGACAACGAGCCCATCTTCCTGAGGCAGGTATACAACGCCACCCTTGCGGAGCATGCCCCGGTTGGACACTGTTTTCTGCAGGTGAGTGCATCAGACCGGTGGATCAACCGGAAGGCCTGGGAAGGGATGCAGAGGTTGTGAGTCTGTCCAGGGAAGGAGAATTGTGATATGGATGGTTGTACCCTGGCTCGGAAAGCGGGGGACATGGGCGCTAGTTCCTCCTCTACAGTGAGATGAATGGGCGCCCTCTGGTCACCTAACCTTTCTGCCAGGGGCTTGGACTGAATAATCTCTAAGGTCCTTTCTACTTCAGGTGATATTTGGATTTCGATTTTGCTTATGGAATCCCGGTTTCCTTCTGCTGGATATGTGCACTCAAATCGGTTTGGGAAGAACCACCTATTCTCAAACAGTATACTCCTATTTTTAAGCAATGTCTCCTATTTTTGAGCATCATTATGTGGCATCCTAGGGAAATAAAGTGGCCCTGGCAAATTAGGTTTCCAAATAAACAAGTGTATGCCTTTAAACACTGAAACTGTTTTGAGTAACTGTTTCTGGAGACTTAGACATTTGCTTACCTAGAAGTGTACAAAGGCTAGTTGAGAACGTGACGTCATTTTTATCAGTTGTGGGCTGGCCTCCTCCAGTGATACCTCAGGCCTCTGAGGAGTGGTGCGGCTCAATCATCCTTTATGAAATGGGGCTCTGCTTTTTGGGTGTGTTGCCTTTTAGAGTTCTGATCTCTCCTTCACACTCAGAATGGTGCCATTTGCACCCTTCCAGCACCACTCTTTATGGCTTCCAATTTCCTATTTCTTATCTGATGTGAGATAAAAAACCAGATTTCCAAGACTGATTTAGTTACTGGAAGATAACTTGAGTAAATAAATAGAGCCTGAGAGGCTAACTAGTTGGTGAAGCTCTAAAGCTTTATTTAGCTTTCAAGCAGGATTGTTTTATTTCCTGGTTCTCAGGGAGGTGAGGCTTTAGCATTTATAAGTTATGTTTCAAATAATAACCTTTAGATAAATGAGATGCTACTATGTTGTAAAAATGAGTTTCATGACTGCTTCTATTTTTTTTTAATCCTTTGACTCTGTGGGCAATAATACTCTCCATCCCTTTCTCTAGCATGATTGGCAACTCTGAGTTGCTAGGTTATTAAAAGAAGGCTTGAAAATCAATTAATGCTTGCTGCTGAAACAGACAAACTACAGATGTCAGTGAGTAACACAATGGGAGTTTATTTATCTCTCAAGCAGAGTCTGATATGATGCAGGTTGGCTGGTTCTCCTCTGTCCAAGGTAGGGCCAGGCCTGGGAGTGACTTAGATCACATCCACCAATGTCCCATTGGTCAGAGCTCTGCCACATGACCTCAGGTGTACTGCAGAGGAGGCTGAGAAATGTAGAGGGGCACATAGGTTCCAGGATGCGCTGATAGTTTCTGCCACAGATTTCTAAAAATGAAGTCATAATAGGTGAGAGGTTGGACTAGATGATTTCCAAAATTTCTTCCATCCGGAAGACCTTAAGGATCTTGGTATGAAACAGTACAACTTGGCTCCATTTGAAGGAAAATAAGCAGAGTGGATTAATTGTGATTCATTTGATTAGAACTTGTCTTTAGAGTTGTTTCTAAAATTGTGAGATGGGTCTGCCATGAGGTGCGAGTTTATCCTGTTATTATGACTCGGTGTGTGGCGGATCCATTATGGTGAGCTGAACTTGGCTCAAGTGTAAGACTGCATCTCCAATTGCAGAAAACCTTTCCAGATTGCTAAGTATTGCTGTAGATAGTATTAAATCGTGCTGATTGGAATTTCTGGAAATTCCAGCAATCTAGCCCCGCAAGGTTAAGAAGCCGTCTTATTCACTGGGTTCGCTGGTGGCCCCTCCACAGCAGCTGTGTGAACTTTCTGTGTTCCGTAAGCCCTCTAGCTGACTCTGTCCCCTAACTTCCAGGTCAGCCTCACCGGAATGTCTTCCATCTGCTTTCTCTCTGTTTACTCTCTCAATCTTTCTTTATACCACTTTGTGAAAATGAACCTCCCCAGCTAGCCTTTGGATCTCATGGCCTTTCTTTTCTTCCAGGGCTTTGTTTAATTACATTGTATCAATTCTTATAACTGTACCTTCTTTCTGTTGCTCTCTACCTGTGTACTCCCTTTAGATCTCATGTCTGCTCAATTCTCCTTTGTCAAAATCAAATAAAAACAAATGAGAAACAACAGAGGAAAAAAAAGTTCTTTCCTAGATTCCCTGTAAAGAAACACCATGTCATCTAATAAAATAAACCCTCGAATTTTCAAGGTGTCTTTTTCCACATTACTAGGTGGTTTTTCCACATTACTAATCCTTGGGGTTCTACTCTTATGACTGCTCTTGCTGCCATCACAGGGCTGGCTGAACCCTTTTATATTCTCATGCCCAGATTGGAACTTTCCAAAAACTTTAAATGTGGGGCAGAACAAGGGGATTTAATACAAAGTACAAGAACCAGCAGCAGCCTGAGATAGGTGACCTCCAGCCTTTCACAACCTTGCTGGCACTTGCCTGGATTTCTTAATTTCTTTCTCCCCACAGCCTGCTGTGTGGAGAGCCCCTTCTTAGCAACTCATCCCTCAGGAGCTCCTTTCAGTATTTCTTGATGCTTTCATGGTCAAGGCAGAGAGGGATTTCTACTCCGCAGACACTCAGGGGTTTCCTCCCGAGTTCCAGTGTCTGGCCTGAAAGATTCTTTTTCCTCAGATTGCTGTCAAAAAGATGAACTTCAGTCTCAAGGCAAGACCTCCACTCTCAAGGCCACGTTAAGTCCAATGATATGGACTGCACTTGCAGCCTTTATCTTGTAACCAGATCTTAAAACAATATAACTGCAGCATTTATACCTGAATCACACACATGCCGTCGCAAGATTATTCTCTCATACTCCCTCAAATGTCAGTACTGTCATGCCCTTGGTTAACAACAGGGATACCTTCTGAGAAATGCATCATTAGCAGATTTCGTCATCGTGCGAACATCATAGAGTGTGCTTACACAAACCTAGATGATGTAGCTTACTATACACCTAGGCTATACGGTACTAATTTTATGGGACCACTGTTGTGTATGCAGTCTGTCTTTGACTGAACCGTTACACAGTGAGTGACTGTACTGTATTTATTCACTAATTCATTTACTTAATCAAACAACAGTATTCATTGAATAAACAACATTCAATGAACAAATATTTACCGAGTACCTGTTAGATGCCAGGATGTGCTGTTGGGGTTGGGGATGCAGCGGTGAGCAAAACGGGCAAGGTCCCTGTGCTAACGGAGTGTATGGTCTTGTGTTTCTGTCTCCATCCCTCCACTGTCAGTCCTCAAGAATGAATGATGTATGCCCTGCCTTCACTTGCTGATCATTCCTTAGCCTCCTGTTCTGACCTTCCATCATTACTATACTAAATCCTGTCTCTCAAAAGCTATGTTCTTTTATTTAAATCCAGTGGGCTTTTTTTCTTCATAACCTCCCTCATTCTCTCTAAAGCATTTTAGACTGTGGCCCACTTCCTTTCTTGAAGGCATCTTCTTCACTGCCGTTTGTCTCATTGCATTCTCTTTCTGTCTCTCTCTTGCCAATTCCTTCTTTCCTCTTGTGCCACCTCACTCAGTGTGGTGGAGGCATTTTCAAGCTCTTCCTCTCACTTCTCTCCTTTCTATATTTTCTTCTTTATATTCCCAGAACTGCAACTTTTTTTTTTGTTTGTTTAACATCTCCCAGGTCAACTTCCCTTATAAATTCCAGATTAACATATCTCTACCTGGATATATATTGGCACCTCAAATCTAGCATTTCCCAAATCGAAGTCATTTTCCTTCTACTATTTTTAATTTCTTTCTTTTTCAATTTTCATTAATCAGCTCCTTTTTAAAACTTTCCTATTTTTGTTAATATGTCCTTCCTATACATATGTTTATGTGTTCGGTGTGTATGTATTTGCTGTTTATTGGAGTGGTTGTATTTTGTGTTGTTGAGAATTACAAGGGTAAAGAGCAAGGTCATGTGTCATATCAGTCAGTTGGGTAAAAATCAGGTCTTGAGATTCCAACCTGGCGCTGTGGGGAGAGCCCCTGGCTGTGCCTGTTTGTTTGCTCTCATGGCCTGACGTTGAGGAGCCTGTCTAGGAGGGGTGCCTGGGCAGTAGACATTAAAAATAGCATCTACCATCTGGGAAGACACCGAGAGATGGGAAGGCCTGATGCCTACTGTGCTCCATGGGCTGAAGAGGACTAAACTATATCTTGTTTCTGATTCATTATATCTTTTGGAGTTATTTCCTTTTAATGAACCCCCTAGCCCTTAGTAAAGTCTTTCTAACTGTGTTAGCTTTGTCTCAACTGTGCTGTGGAGGTAAAAATGGAGAATCCAAAATGTCCTCTAGGGGGTGGTATGATTTAAGGGGAGGGTATTAATTGGCTTTAGTCAAAGTGCCCAGGCCTGGCAGCCCTTCTCCTCAAGCCTGTGGATGACGATGGCAGACAGCAAGGGATGCTGAGATAAGGTGGTTCTGAGGAACAGTGTGAGGCTCTCTCTCTCTCAAAGGTTCTCCTGGTGCCAGCTTTGGAAGTAAGAGACTTTAATAAGGGAGATGATGTTTCCTAAAATCTTAGTGTCATCTTTGAGTCCTCCCCAAATTTGACCACAGGAGTTGCTGAGGCCTCCAGTGTTTCTTGCATCTGTCCCTTCATTTATACCCGTTGTCATCATCCTAGTTCTGTCCACTATCACCTCTTGTCTTCTCTTGACTTTCTTTCAAATTGGAGAGTTTGGCTCACCACAAATAACACCTCTTCCCTCTAAAGGTTTTCTAGTTCTGTCCAGCTCTTTTCTTAATGTTCTTTACAGTGCTATAGTTGTTTACTTGTATTAGAAAAATAATGGACTGTGAGTACCTTGTGGGGGTGCAATTTAATGGTATTTGAATCCCCTGTCATTCCTAGTATCCTCATTCTCATATACCAGAAGATCAATAGCTTTGTTAAATTGTACTGAAGAGCTGCATAATGAAAAACAAAATCTGCTAGTGAGAATTACAACTAGTCAAAGTTTTTACTTTTTAATTTGCATGAGTATTAATTTTATTGTAAA